GAGAAGAGAGAGAGACGAGAGAGAGAGAGAGAGAGAGAGAAGAGAGAAGGAGAGAGAGAGAGAGAGAGAGAGAGAGAGAGAGAAGAGAGAGAAGAGAGAGAGAGAGAGAAGAGAGAGAGAGAGAGAGAGAGAGAGAGAGAGAGAGAGAGAGAGAGAGAGAGAGAGAGAGAGAGAGAGAGAGAGAGAGAGAGAGAGAGAGAGAGAGAGAGAGAGAGAGAGAGAGAGAGAGGAGAGAAGAGAGAGAGAGAGAGAGGAGACAGAGAGAGAGAGAGACAGAGGAGAGACAGGAGATGAGAGAGAGGAGAGAGAGAGAGAGTGGGGGGAGATGGTGAATGAGGGAGGGGAGAACAAGGTGGGGAGGAGTGGAGAGAGGTGGGAGGAAGATGGGGATAGAAGGGAGGGAAGAGGAGGTGGAAGGAAAGTGGGAGGGAAAGCGAGAGAGAAGGGAGGAGGGAGAGAAGGGGGGGGATGAAGGTGGGTAGGGTGAAAGGGAGTTAGGGAGAGATGGAAGGAGGGAGAGAGAGGAGGGAGGGAAGTTGGATTGGGAAAAAAGAGTTGTGAAAGGAAATCAGAGAGGGGAAGAAAGTAGGAAAGGGAGGGTGGGAGGAGAAGAAGACAGAGGGAAGAGAGAGAGATGGGAAGAAGATGAAATGGTGGAGGGAGAGAAAGGAAGAGAGACGGGGGAAACGAGAAGAATAGGAGAAGGGAGATGATGAATTTAACAAAGCAGATGAGAACAAGGAGAGGGAAAGAAACAAGGGGTTGAAGGAGAAAAAGAGGAAGAGGAAAAAGAAGAAGAAGAAGAGGACATGAGAGGGGGAGGGAGGAAAAAGAAATCCGGTGGAACATGTAAAGTATAAAGAAACGAATGGGAGGGGGAAGAGAAGAAGGAGAAGAAGGGGAAGGAGGGAATGCGAAAGAGAGCAGGGAAGGAAAAAATGAAAAGGAAAGGAGGAAGGAGGGAGAAGGAGCAAGAAGGGGCGAATGACAGAGAAAGGATCAAAGGAGGAAGGAGAAGCGAATAAAAAAAAAAAAAACAGGAGAGAGAAAAAAAGAAAGAGAGAAATAAGGTGGGCGAAATGTTACGAAAAATGCCACATAATAAAAAGGGGGAAGATCAAGGAGAAAGAATTTGGGGGGGAAAGAGAATGAAAAAAAGATGAAGAAACATCAATTTTCATCTGTTTCTAAACGCGAGGTTCAGGTTTTGGCGGGAAGCGTGACTGGAAAGAACACCCATGGTTATCACATTTTCATTCATCTCATGTCTGCGATGGGGGAGTCAAAATGGATATGAGGAGAGAAAGAGGGAGAGGGAGAGAGAGAAAAGAGAGGGAGAGAGGGGACAGACAGAGAGACATACAGACAGATAGGGAAGATGACGAAGAAAATAAGAAAGTCATCGTAACAGCAAGAACCACAATTCATATTCTCGTAGCATTTAAAGGATTAACCGACGACCCTATCCAAACACACTTTTCCTCATGCCTAGAATTTCTATATTTTACCAACTTTTATGTTTTTTTATCAAATATTGTTTTAAAATGTTCGTTGCACAATCATTTCCTCTACTTATATGTTATTATCAAATCACGAACTTGACTGCTGATCTCAAAGCCATTTTTTCCCGCGTGAAACATTTAACTGTTCAGAACGGCTGATGTTTTGAACCAATGAATATGCTAGACACATAAGGTCATATGGCACTGGGTGATTGTTTGAATCCGGTAAGACTGATCCTATTAAGACGCGAAATGTTTGAC